TTACGGAATTTCTCACCTTCTGATCATTAAACCTAAATAAATAGCTTTCATCTTCATATTTCCATCAGGACATGGCACATGAGCAATCATAGAATTAGATAAAAAATCGATTGCTTCGTGCTCACGTGGAAGTGAAGGTGTAACTGAATTTGCGACCCCAAATTTCTTCATTTTAACCTTTAAAAATACACATGTTAATAATCGTAGGTTTAATTATGAAAACAATCTAAAGAATCTGAATTTAGATCTAAAAAGCAAAACATCTCAAGTTTAAACTTTCTTGAAATAAACCTTAGAAGCAATATACTGTAGTGCTCCCTCTTGAGTTGCAATCTGATGGCTTGTGCACTCTTCAATTGATGGTGCTAAGGCGGCAACAAACTTCTCCTCCGAGCCAACTGTTGAGACAATATCGTGGTCTGATTCAAATCCCATAGCCTAAAATAGATATTCCACTTTCTGAATTAGAACAGTGAAAAAAATACTTTCAAAATTAAAGGAAACAATAAACTGACAGAGCAATTTTCTTAAGCTGAATAGGAAATTTCTGTATTAAATGCGGTTTTAAAGCTCCAAATATACCAAATAAAAAAACAATAAAAAACTGAACCGCGGAATTATCTTAAGTAAAAGAGCTACCGAATTGAATGCTTTTACTTCCTGTTAATCAATTACTTTTTATAGCTTCATTAATTTGGAAAACAGGAAAGACAACTGAACAAATAAATTAAACTACAGCACTCTAAGATACTTTTTATAATGAAGTGTACTTTGAAAACGATAGACACTGGTACGTCATCAGACAGTTGGTTGTGACGAACGTAATAACGCTGCTTTTTACTAGTGATATATGTCTTACTTTTGCGCTCCTGAGTAGAACTAAGAACCTGAAATTATCTGATGACATTCTCTTAAAGCGCTCTTACAATGGGAAAAAACTAACCAAACAGATTATATAGCTACGAAATTTGTAGTCTTTTCAACTCAGTAAGAAGAAATAGAAAGAATATCTTACGACGGAAACAATAAAAAATAAAACTTAGTCTGCTATAATTAGTTGCAAGCACTAGACCTAATCTCAAACAAACCAAATGGGATGCAACAAAATTCTCCATACCTCACACTGCAACTCTTTTTTGCTGTTACGTCCGATCATAATACGATTTTTGGACAACTGTTCTTGGATAAGAACTACTTTTTCTGATCCACGAACAATGAAATAACCTCCTGGATCGTAAGGACATTCTTGAACAAAGGCTAATTCTCTTTCGTTCTTTAAAAAATTTAAGTATTACTTACGCTTCAAGTGCTTCTAATCATTACACAGCAATTTAAAAAGAAACAACCGTGATGTAATATTATTAATTCAAGGATTGCAGCGCTTACCATATCTTTTAAGACACATCTACTAGAACGTAGCATAACTGGCATTTTTCCGATAACAAGATCATTCCTCAAGACACGCTGACTGCCCCGAGTGTACTCAATGTCAACTGAAATAGGTGCAGAATAAGTCATATCCCGAAGACGGCATTCATGAGGATTAATATTATGGTTGATTTGATTGAAACCTTCTTCACTGGCTGGCATTCCAACACGAATATCTAAATACCTGAAGCAAAAGATATGATAACTTTATCTGCATTTATTATTTAACAGAACAATTACAAATAAGTTCGTGATAGAGAAAATTTGTATACTTCGAAAGATCCCTGAAGATGCAAATGTTATGCTGTTTGAAAGATTCAAATATTAAGTTTAAAGTAAATATATAGCTTAAAAGTCCTGAATTCAATGAAGAAATTAAAGGACTCCTAGTAAACTTTTAAATTCAATCAATCTTTTCTATTACTATAACATGTTTTATGTTACGTTTTCAGCTTGACTGTAAGGAAATTCACACTTCAAATAAAACGATGGATTGGCATCACTTGTGATTTTGTTATTAGCTTGCAAAATCTTCTTTATATCCGTATTGACGAAGTAATCATAGCTAGCTATATGTTGCTTTACAAGTCCACGAACCTGGAAGAAAACTAACTTTAAAAGCATGAGCCATGCTTCTATGCTCAAAATTTCTCAAGTTAAACGTTCTATGTTAAATACCTCCCACACTTACAATAAATACGAAATGTGTAAGCGTTTGAATTATTGATATTATAACCACTACCAATAAAAAAATCAGCCATAAATAATATTTGAAATATTTAACAATATTTTCAAAATGATACTATTGTTAAAAAGTAAATCTTGCATATTTTTAATCAACGTAAATCTACAAAGAATCTGCTGTCTAGAAAAGAAGTTGTATTCAAGAAGTTTGAGTACCCGTAGAAACGCCGGAACAAGTTCCCATTTATCTTTTACTGCTCGTACTTCTTTTATATCTTTCTTCATTTCTGATATCATCTTTTTTGATTTAACTGCAAAGTGGAATTATGCAGAGCAATTTTTGATAATAATCAGTAACTTAACACATCTAAGCACGTGAAATAACTGCTTCTCTAGAAACATTCATACTTCATATCCTTACCTTTCTGTAAGCATATATATGTTACGTTAATTACATCTCCTATGCATACGGATTAAACATATAAATTGAACGTTACAATATGCTATTAGAATACCTAGTAGAAATACGTGTCGCAATTCATATCTCCCACGTTGACTTCGTTTGGAAAAACTCTTTGTGGACCATTGTGCAAAAGCTTTGTCTCACATATTCTTTTGTTACATACAAACACCAAAACTAACACAACGTTCATAACGTCATCATTAGATAATGTGTTATTTGCAGCATTGTCAATACAGAATATGTTGATAATGATAATGATAATGATGATAACAATAATAATAGCAAAACTGTGTAGAAAGAAAACTTAGCAGGCATTCAATTTTTCCATCAGCACAGTAATGCTATCAATGATAATAGCAACAGACATAATATTGGTAACATTTTGGTAGAAGATAATAATAACGGTAATATTAATGGAGTGATTGCCATAAGATAATAATAACGGAATGACTGACAAAGAGATAAATTGAAAACAATCACTTATTAGAAACTATTAGCTACTCATCAAGCTGAGACGCAAGACACGTTAATTTTTTGTACAAAAATGAGATGTATAGCAGCTACAACAATGAAATCTATTATTCCTTCTCAACCAATCTAGTTTCTGTTTATTTAGTTCACACTGATTGCAATAACCATGTCGATTTTGACGTATTTCTTCTGCACATTCAAGATGCAATGCGTGTGCGCATCTTTGCATTACAATTTCCTGAAAGCGTTATTTGTCGAAAATTATTCAACTTTCATAATGGTCAAACAAAAGTGACCTCTCAGTTTGCAATCATTTTTACTAAAGATTAATTTCATAAATGCCAACAATCCTATAGTTAGATGCATCTAATTTTTACGCACATAAATTTGATATTCTTAATAAGAAGTAAAAAATAATCAACTTCGAAATGTGCATTCAATGGACGATCACACAGTGAGCAGTTTCCGTGATAAGATAAATACTGAAGCCATAACCACGATCTCACAGAACCTTTTTCTTTCTTCACTTCTATTCGTTTTACGTTCTACAAACATTTTTAATTTTGGTCTAAACTACTGTTTTAAACTTAACAATTGCATTCTATCTATACTTTTTGAACTATTGCAGTACTATTATTTCTGTAGCTATATTTGAGAATGTTCATGAGTAGACATTATCAAAATTGAACTCAAGTTTGACTGCTTTACATGTTGGCATTAACTTGTAACATAAACTTGCTAAGAATTGCTTTCAGTAAAAAGTTGAAGCATAGCTAAAAATATTATTGTTTGCGCTAAGACTTTGACTTTTAAATTACCTGTTGCAGTTTCAAAGATTCAAATGGGTTAATCATTATTTCACTTTTTGGTACTTTGTTTTCTGAAAATTTTATTAATTGCTAAATTTTCCGATGTAAAAAATTCATGGCAACCTTGTGTGGCGTACTGTAATTTGGACAGAAAGATAAAACAAAAGTAGTGATTTAATTATCGTGTTGAGTGATAGAAAGTCTTCAGTGATTTGAACAAGTAATGATAATTTTAAAAGTCAAAAACAAATGCTAAATTAATTCATGTAAGCTATTGGCTCATACATCTGTTATCCATCATATCTGCTATGAATAATTCCTTCAATGCTATAGCAAGGCAGTCTTATTTATGTTAGCAGTTTTAAAATGATTCGAAATTTTGAAAAAAAATAATTCAAAGAATTGGAAGGAATTAGGAAACTGAAATTTTTAGTTATGTTTTAAATAACCGATATGAGAGTTCCTTCCAACTCCTAATTCTCTTTGAATTGAAGAACTTTTTATTCCGAGAAACTGAAGACGTTGTTCAAGCATGTTACACTCTTCTAAATTTGCGCTTTCTGTAGGACTATAAATTTCCACTGCTGGTTCATAATATGGTATAACAAACATATCTGCAACACCTGTTATCCATCACTGTAACTTTGTTCACATTCTAACAAAGCCTAACATCTTTACTATACCCTTTGCAGTCTAAACTTTGTATCTGACCTAAATTTTTATAATCCGAAATTAATTAGCGCAATTAATCTTTGTAGTCAGTAACCTATTTTTATTGTTGAGTACTCATTTTGAAAAGAAAGAACTTGAAAAATTAAAAATTCTGAAAAATATGCATTATATTTACAATAAACTCAACCAAATATGGAATTTATACGAAAAAATTTGACAATATTTTTAATTCTAATAAATACTAAGCCTAATGCTAAAATTAATAGCAGTAATGAAATTAGTGGAATTGATAAAAAATAACAATAATAAAATTTACTCAAGATATTTAATCCGACCGCTCTCACAACTTTAGCTTACTCAATCTCTTCTTAGACCTAACTTTCTTCATTTTATTTACAGTACTGAGTCTGATGGAATAATCGCCTATATTATTATTTATCACATTCGAAAATGTACCAAAGTTTCATTGCAGTGCCTAACTGAAATGCTGTGTTCGCAGATAATTACAGAAATATACTGCTAGTTTAAAAACAAAAATCACCACAAACGAGTGCACAGTTAAGCAATCCCAGCAGTTTGAATAACTCTCGCAGTAACTGCTTTTTTTATTCTTATTTCACCTGGCATGCTGATTACTTTTTTTCACGTTCACTGCTCAATTCCTTCACGTAATCGTGACCTTTGTATGTAATCACAAAGCCTGAGCACCACGTCACGTACTCGATATGATTGCTTACTCCAGTCGTACCTTTTCAGGCTACAAATTCAAAGAGACAATCCATCCTCATGCTCTTCATTCTAGCAATTGTATTTCTTCCGTCAATTGTTCCAATCTTTTTCTTCTCTCCCTCATACCCTCTCTTACGTTTCACCAACACCTCTTTCTCTCACATTTCTGTAGTGTTTTCTCCTTTTCATCTCTACTTTGGACTCTTTCAGTTCTCTATTTTCAATTCTCCCTAAATCCAGTACACTTTTTATCTTGCTCATTCGTCTCTATTTTATTATAACTTTATCATGTTATACTCGTTTCATAAAATGTTACAAGTATGTCAAATTATATTTCTTAGATTTTGCCAAGTTTTTATTTAATGCTGTGCAGAGTATAAGGAGTTAATCAAGTATTTGATCTGAATTTCCGTGAAAGACGTGATTTGTGAACGGTATCAGTCATTATTTGTCTTTACTTTAATTAATCCAGTCTGCAGTTAGTTGTGAATAATTTGAGATTCTGTTCAGAATTTATGTTTGTAATTAATTAAGACATGCGCTTCAGATGACAAAGTAGTAGAATGTTCAACGAATATCACTCAGTAACTTATCAAAATGTGTATAAATTTTCTTATTATAATTAGTTTTTCATTACCAATTACACATTTCTTCATTGTTATGTATTTTGTGCAAACGTTTCTGACGTATAACTCACATTTTTATATTTATTACAAACGTTGTCTTTTTATGCGCTTTAAAACTTGTTTTTACATTTGCAATCCTTTAATTATTACTTCATGCTAGTTTGTGTAAGTAATTATACTTATTGCTATTAAGTATAAATCGCATACTTTGGTAGCAGATATATATATATATATTCTTGGGATAATGTTGATGATTTCTTTAGCATTTCTTTTTTTGCAATATGTACTTAGCTCGTGTCTCATTCTCTTTTTGACCTGAACAATATTGATGATTTCAGCTTTATTATTCGGAATGTAACGTAAAAAGTACGGAAATGTTGCTGTATTCAGAATTCTCATTCTCACATTGCTTTCCATTTTAATGTGGATTAAGTAGAGAAATGGAAGCTGTTCGGAAGAGTTATTCTGCTTTTCAGTCGTTCATTGTGTCCGTAATCGAATGGCGCTCTGCTGCTACAGCTCCTTACTTCATGTTCATTAACAGTCTTTTTTGGTTCGTGAATGCTAGTTTACGCATTGAACTGTTAATAAATGCATCATCAAATACCGTCTAAATTTGAGCTTCTTTAAATTTGTACATTTTTAATAAAATATCTATTAGTTATTAATTTATTTTTAAATAGATAAACCTTATATACATACATATATATATCATTTAAACACAATAAATTACTTAAAAAAGTATTGAAATAGATTTTGTAGACTAACAAAAAGTATGAATGAAACTTTTGAATGTCAAATTTTAATTATCATTTGATTCTTTCAGGTGGAGCGTCTTTTACTTGAATAAAGAAACGCAGCTTCAGTTATTGATGTCACTGGCAGCAGGAGTTTTTGGCTGGGATGTTTTACTTTCATCAACCAACAATCGAAGTATTTTGTTTCATGTTCTAACTTGGCCTATACGAAGTCTTATAAGAGTAAGTTGTTGCAAATTTGATTTTCTCCTTTTTTATATACTTATATTTTATCTATTGCATTTCAAATTACGGATTTAAGAGACTTAGTCTTCAAAAAATTTGAAATCTTTAAGATAAAATTTTGTGAAAATTTCAGTGATTTTGTGTTAAAGGGATGTTGAACATTTTTTTATTCATCAGATGCTTTAAATTCACTCTTTAACTGCATAAAAATATTTTTTTAGACTGTTAGTGTTGCTGCAGCTTTGTATAGCGCTCTAATGCTCCATCATGCCGAGCTGGAAAAAGCATGCTGGACTGCCTATGCAACAGGTCTACCTTAACATTTAAACCGTTTTGCAAAAATTGTTTTCTCACAAGTATGGAAGAGAGTTACCAGTATTTATTAATGCAAGAGTAATTTTTTTGAGGATATTTAAGTGATGTAAAATCTGCCCTTTTACTAGCGTATTTAGTAATTTTTTTTTCAGTCGCACTATTAATCATAAGTCCAGTGTGGCACTGTCAGCAAGTGCCACAAAAAATTGGTAGATGTTTATATTCGGCATGGACAACAACAAAATTTGTCATCGAAAAAAGTATCATAGCTCCTTTTTGTTCTATTTACGCAGTTCTTCATTATGTCGTAATGTTGAAATGGCTTACAGGTGCATCAAATTTATTATTTCATGTACGAAAAATTTTTAATCTGAGTAAAATTCAAATATTGTACAATCATTTTACGAAAAAATTTTTTGCTAAAACTTTATGCAAAGCTTCAATAAAAACTTTTGTTATATCGACTTTCAAAACATTCAACTGTTCTTGGATTGCTTTAAAATATAGACATTGTCATTTATTTACAATATAAATGTCCTAATTTATGATACATGTTGATTATTTCGTTCCTTTAAGTAATTTTTCAGTCATATTGCGACAAATAACTGCAAAATGGATATTAATAAAAGCTACTGTAATAGGAACTTGGGATCGGATATTTGCTATGCTTCGTGTTAGTAAAAATGCAGTGGTAAATGGTATTGCTTATAGTATTCTCAGTACTAAAACTTCCATTTTACGTATTATTCACGGAATAACTAGTGGTGTTCGTAGATTTCTGATCTCCATCAAATGCAGTTTTTTCTGGTCATTTATTTTCTGCAAGGATATTGCTGTTAATTTTGCACTTTATTTAAGAGACTGCATTATTTTCTTGGTGAAGTTTGTTATAAATGGATTCATATATTCTTTCACTACTGTAAAAAATGCAATATTTTCCGTAGTATTAGCATTCAAAGCCAAATTATTTCGTTGCTTAATGGCACTTAAAAATGCTGTCACATCTATTATTTTGAAAGTCAAAATTATTTTATACCAGGGGATCGTTATTTCTAAAGATTCAGTTTATCGTGCTGTAATTTCTATCAGAAGATTTATTTGTGATGGAATCATCAGAGTGCAAAATTTAATTTTAGATTTTTATTGTGCTGTCATTGAATGGGTAAAATCGAGTATTATAGGTCCTGTTCTAAAAATTTTCACTCATATTGTCCAATTTCTAGAGTACTGGCTTTTTGCTTACTGGTGGCCTGGTTTTAAATCATGGCTTATTTCGTACATTGTGTATCGACTACAACGACTATTCAACTATTTCTGCTACGCTTTTGTGTATATTGTTTGTTGCTACTGGATATCCCCAGCCAATGCCTTTCTTGATAAATTCTTCAGACTGTTCTATGTTTATTTCCAGCGATCGATTCTGATGCCATCAAAAATGTAATCTACCAAATTTTTATTTGTAGGTTTATATTTAGTGCATGTAGTGATTGCTAAACAACGAATAATATTCTGTGGAAAAGAAAATCATTATTGAGTTTGTTTTAGTTAACATTTTCGCTTTTATTACCTTTGTAATCTTTTGTATTATAGATGGGCTATGCAACAAGTAGACAAGGCTTTGATTCTTCTAAAACGAATGTTGCATTGTTTGGCTGTAGCCGTACGTGATAGTATTATTTGGCCCTTCTGTTTACTTACTATTTTTTTGATTAAGCAGGTTCATCATTCATTTCTCATTTTAAATAAATTGTTTAAATTACTTGAACGCAACGATAATTTCTTTTTTCTGCAATTTTCGTTATTCAATTTAGTGTAAGCTGACATAGCATGCGAATGAATATAAATGTAACATGAAACTTTTTAGGTCCTTAAACAACTTCAAATAATTGTTTTTCAACCGGTGACTGACATATTATACAGAAAATATAAAATTTGTGAGGATTATGTTTTGATATATTTTTTGGGACCCGTTTGCCAAGTTTTTATTGATCACATTCCTGAGAAATCGCCATTTTGTGGTGAGCAATTTTTCAGGCAACGAAAAATAAATTCTGTATTATCTGTGACTTTTTATTTTTTAGAACCATGTTACCTTTTGTATAGATTTTATATAAAATTATTATTGTCATAAGAAAGCTAGAATGCTTGTGTTTAATAATTCATCGCATCGGGTACCCTAATTAATTTCTTTTGCTCTTATTTGTGCGGACTCACATGAAGTAATTTTTAGATGACACTGATACAGAATTAATGGATTTATTGCCTCCTGGATTTACTGAGGACGAAGAATCTGATAGAGAAGACAAGACTGTAAGCCGATCAAGTCCACTGACAGGTTATTTCCAGAATCATATTTCTTGAAACATTCATCATTTTACTTTGTAAACTTTTTAGGAAATAACTTTGAGATGTAGAAGTTAATGAACTCCAAAAAATAATTCAAAGCATAATTCAGTGCATGAAAGTTGATAATATTTCATAAAAATGAATTTATACATAATGCATCATGTGAGGAACAAAAGCAGTTAAATTTGATCTGTAGAAGAAGAACGCGATTTCGCCCGTGGTTTGAAGTTCCCTAATGTTGATGGATCAGATTCGAGTGAAGATGAATTTGCTTTAAAACCGAAGTTAAGGCAGAAATATAAAAAGAAAAAGCTGAAGGCTCATCCAAAAGACCCAATACCAACAATTTCTAACGAAAAATGCAATTCAGCAAGATGTGAAACGGAGAGTATTAAACAGCTTAAGCATTCTCTATCAGGTAGTAGCCATTCAGATAGTTTAACCTCCTCATCTGTACAGCTTAGTCTGGATGACGCAGATCTTAGAGAATTGGATCTGACAGATTTTGAATCTGGTGATCAAGTGAATATGGGGCATATGAAGGACAATATCGGAATAATATCGACAGAGGGTCGAAGGAAAACAAAAAAGAAGGAGCACAGTTCAGACACATGTAATGTGATGGAAAATAAACTTTGAATAGCAACTTCAAAGGTAATTTAGTTGATATTTTCATATTGCTAGATAATAAATAGTGCTAAGTTTATAACTTCTGTTTGTTCAATGTTCAGTGTACATAAATTATCAAAATCGTCAACTGACTCATTCACAACGGTAGGCTTGTCCTTCAGTTTTAAGAATTTTTATCATTAGTGCTGTTTTTCTAAAAAAATTAAATGCTCTCATAGAGACTACGTGATAACCTACAATTGCGACAGGAAATCCTCTCAAATAATTGGCTACGATGCGCACTAGCTTTTTGTTGTTTTGTCATTATTATGGCTTCAAAAATTTTCATCATTTGTTCTTAACTGTATGACTGTAAGTAGCTATGTTGCTCAATATGTATGTTTCCAAAAATTTCAAACAACCTATGCATTTCTGCTGCATGTTATGGGCAGCTGTTTTATGGGTAAAATTTGCTTTTTTACGTTTATATTTCAGAATTTTTGTCTAATACCTGTAGTAATATTAATAACACGCTCGAAAATGAATATTAGCACCTCTATTTGGCCCAGTTTACTTGATGCTAATAAAACTCAGGTCATCAAAAACTTTTTATTAATTTGTGCAGTTCTAAGGTATACAATGACAATTAGTCAGAAGACAATTTTAGACTTTTTTCGTCAGTCATGGAAAGGTGACTCGAGAAAGAAAGTAAACGACTTTACATTAGTCGTTCATTACATAAACGACTAATGTAAAGTCGTTAGTACATTAGTAAACGACTTCCCCTTACATTAGTAAACGACTTTCTTGATCGTATTCCTTTCATTACATAAATTATGCGAAAGCCTACTTTTTTTCACTGCCATTTTCTGGGACTTAATGGATTTCTAACTTACTGTAGTACGGAAAAAGGAAATATTCTTTACTGTTGAATTCACAATCATCAGCAGAGGCACGGATATCGTTCTACTTTTATTTCCAGTTATAACTGTAGAGCAATTATTTCTAATAACTGCTACAGCAATTATTTTCTCGGCACTAATGAGCGCAAATTATCAGGAATGGTATATTACGAAAGTCGTACGGGAGAAAATAGGAAAGTGCCAAAATGACGAATTTCATTGTCTTTGCATTAGAAATATTTACATTTAAATGCGAATGAGTCAAATGTACAGTAACTTAAGTATGTTTAAGTCGCGCTGTCATTCGCTCCAGTTCGGAAATATTCTTCCTGCAAACAGTTTGGAGAACAATGTTAAAATTTTAATAGCAGTTTGGAAAATAAAATCTGTATAGAAATGACAAAGCCTTATTATTTAATATAAAAACAAAGATATAACATTCTCATTAAGCGTTCTATATGTCACCTTAATTTCTCATATACTTCTTCTCGTGTCATGTTTTGTAATCGAGGAGACGTGCGAAGAAACATGGATTTGAGCCGAACTGATGGCGTCAAAGATGGTGATGAGGAAAGTAACGGAGTTTCTCCGAACTCTTCATGTACAGGCTCGTCGTATGACAAGGACAGCTAAAAAAACCAAATTATTTCAGACTATGAGCAACAATTCCGAGAAATTAAAGCGATGATTTCAGATTTTAATACTCATGCAGAAATCAACGTATTCATTATAGAAGTAGTGAACAAAATAGAAGCACATAAATGTGAACAATGCACTATGCACATAAAAATAAAAATATTTACAACAGCTTTCAAGAAATTTTGATAAAAATCAAGTTTTTTGACGGAGTTCTCATTGCTCACATATCCAGATTTTTACAGAAACTACAAATGGATCATACAGATGAAACTATTTGAGATAACCGATGCACATTTTGCCCTTGTTACAAAAATTAATAAATGTTTGCAGAAAGTCAATAAATGTTATGCTCACGGTAAGTAGTGGTGCTTGATTCGAAACCGATAAGTCCGACATTTCGTATTCTGATTTTCCTGGATTTGTTGGTGGCAAGTGAAGCGATATGAAACCAATCACTTTGTCTGATCCAGCTATACAGCGCCTCCATAATTTGACGACTAAATTTTGACGGCTCCTTGAAACCTAGCATAGAAAAGAAGGTAAGATTATTTAATTTCCATAAAACCTACATGAAGCGATATCTGGCAGACGAAACTCTTGAACATAAACACCTAAAAGAGGCCGAAAATATAAGAGGGAAATGAATCTCATAGTTGTTCTTTAATGTGGCTGTCATGAAGCTTTAGGCATGCTGACATAGTGTGTGAGGGTAAGAGCAAAAGTTAAGAGTCTCGGTATTTATTCGAAATCCAAAACGCCAGATTCTAGCTGTATTCGGAAAGACGGTTCAGTAAGAATGTGACCGAATAACAGCCTGTCAGTCACAATGTAGAAAAAGAGTCAGGTTTTGGGGTACGATGTAGGTGGAACCGAAGGATGAGAACAGGTGATGATATCTGCTACAAACAATATCTAGAAGAATTATAGAATACTTTCCCATGAAAAGGTAAATTCGGAAAGATGGTTGACTATTTGTCCTGATAGAAGGTACGGAGCCTCGATCTTAATAAGAAATTTTTTACAGATTTAGAGGCACTTCTTTATTACGAAGAGTAAAAACAAAAGTTACGAGTCAAAACAAAAGTTCGTTATTTATTCAAAATCCAAAACGCCAGATTCCAGCTGTATTCGGAAAGACATCCAGCTTTGCAAAAAGATAAAATAGATCAGCCTGGATAAGAAGGAATAAGATTCATGTTTCCACAAAGATATTACCAAATTCAAAATGTATTCCAAGCAAAGGTAGCAAAAATAACATTTCAGGCCAGTAATCCGTACGTTGAACATTCACAAGTTGACACGAAAATAGACATTGTCACGAGAGGACACACTTGCGGACTGTTCAACTATTCGCTCAATATGGAATACGCAAAGGTACCGGACCGCATAGATTAAGAAATGCACATAACGAACCAACCGCTGTTTGTGGAGATATCATGAAATCTATGGCCTACGAGTTCAAAAGTATATATACAGAGAGAAAGGAAGAAATTGCTTTTCTTATGAAAATCTAAGACACAAAGATTAGAAACAAGTTTTAAAAAAATTTTTTGCTTAATTTAGCAAATTTCTGGTACCGAACATGCCGAACACTTGTGATAATGATTAGATAAGTAGTAAACAAACATTGAATGTTTCCGTCCAATTCCATTCAGGATGTAAAGTTCCCGTACGTATCGGTGAGCTCAGTGTCCTTCCATCCTCGCCAGTCACTGTTAAGTAAGTTGCTGGCACGACAGCTTCTTTTCTGGAACTCAAAAATATTTGACCTAACATACGAGTACTCTCAAAAAAACATTTCATATGGCAAAACTGTAAACTCTTGTGTGCTGCATTTTGATTACAAGAATTTTGAAGAGATAAAAAATAATGCATACACATAGAAAAAAATACAAAAATGTAAACGAATAAAGAACCTGGAGTTAAAATCAAACGGCAAGCGACGAGCTGAATAAACAGTGAGTCTTATCCGGTAAGAAGGACTGGTTGGGCAGAGACCTTGGATCGGTATATGTGGATCATTCAAAACACCAGGTGAAGGCACTAAGGAGTTCGATGCACTACTGTAAGTGAGATTTAGTGGAGAAACCGGCTTTGACACTAAAACAATCCTTTATTACACAGAAAAATGACACAGGCTTCTCATAGCGATTGAAAGTATTAAACGCAATTCATTTATATTCCACTGAAATATCATACATATTAAAATTGGATATTACTTAAGAAAACTTAACTCGATTTGTGATTTTCGAAAAGCGAGGAGGAGGAGAAGATGAGAAGGCACGCCGCTGTGGAATTACTGGGGTTAACTGACAAGAAGTTGGAGCTAATTCTTTTTTACACGATCTTGATCTAGCACGAGTAGCAGAACCGATTTGTGGTAGAGTATCATGTCTCATCCATTCTAATCGTTCCATTAACTGTCGTACATGTGAACCAAGGTCAATTTTAATCTATAAGTAATAGAAAGAAAACTAAACAATTAAACTGAATATGTTTGAAATTTGATAAAATATGAACTTATTCAGAAACAAATAAAAGTATAAAACATGCAGCATCATTAATATGGAATCTCGACAATAGTCTAATAAATTTAAAATCTTATAAAACAAAGTAAATATAGCTCAAATATTCAATAACAAACCAAAGCTGAACCAGAAAACCCAGCACCAAGGAACAAAAAATCTCGACAGATGATGAAAGGAGGAATAGTGAGGTCGTGTAAAGGCACTTGACAGGTTCCCATTTTTTTCACCTAAATTATAAAACTATATTACAAAAACCTTTTACTATTATTTATTCTCTTTATTAATAATATAACTCAGCTAAAAAACATGATAAGGTCACTGAATATAAAAATCAAAAATCACTAAAGTTAGCATCCATCCTTTCTAATTATTGGGAATATAAAAAATAGAGAGAAAATTCCTTAAAAAGTAAAACTAATAAATTTTTTGGCTTCAAATTCGGCATTTTTCGTTTGTATGAATTACAAATTAAAAAGTTTATGAAATGAAGCACTAACAGAATACTTTCCCAGAGTATTTAATTTGGCATAAACTGTTAGTAATAACTGTGCTCGCTTCCATAAATTGACCAATTCAGGAACCATTTTTATTCTTAAAACACGTTTATGTTGAAAATGAATAGTATTTCCACTGAAGTGCTTCGCGTGTACACGAACTCTTGTTTTAAGTGAAGCAGGGGCAGCATCAACAGATGGAAAATTATATTCCAGAATAAATCTACAAATTTAAAAAGAAAAATACAATGAGACAAGGATAAAAATTTATTTGGAGAGCTAAATAGCATTTTTTCAAACATCTTCTAAACTTGCTAATGACACAACTGAGAATTTCTAGTTATTTAATAGAAAAAAATCTAGGTAATGCATGAAAATACTAACCCAAATAAAGACCGTTGTCTAATTACTTCTTCAATGAATTCATCTTCTTCATTCATGTAAATATATTCTAGATTTAATCTTATAAACGTAATATCATTTAAAATGCGCCAAGCATCCATATTTTGAAAATCATCTAAAATTGCATAGAAATTTATGACACGCTTTCTTAAGAACAAATTTATTTGAATATTTGATAAAATAATTTGAATGAGTAAGTGTGCTCCTGTTTCCGAACTGATGATAATATATTTTAAATGTAAGAACATATCTACAATATAAATGAAATATCTACTGCAATGTCTAGAAAAAAAATCCAAAAAAAAGAAAAACAAAGTTTTTTTCCTAAAATATCTATCTCTTTCGAATATATCTACTGCTAAAGAACCCAACACTTTTGTTAGTCATACTCAAGAAACACAGCAATCCGATTAAAATGACTCCAATAACGAACAAAATATTAATCAAATTGATATTTAGCACTTTCAGACATAGCCTTCAACTACAAAATAATAATTCAATTACTGTCAAAAGAATTAAATGCAATTTTAATACAGAAAAATGTCAACTGCTAAACGATTACTGCAATAATATGACTCTAAACCTTTCTAACATGATTCAGAATTAGACTGTATTCTTAGGCTGATTTTTTCATGGATACTTAATGAAGCGGTTGGATTGATACTTCACATATAAAAAATGTAAATCCAGAAACTCACAGTGATTATGATTCCTAATATAAGGAGGTACTCTGTCATTAGTCATAGTGTCACGACCAGCCTTCTCTGTATGCTTTGTTGGTATTCAATCACCAAACATCCTATAAATTTTTGCTTTTAAGCGGCTGCAATTACTTGATCTATTAGAGACTCATGAATATTCAAATTTAATATTAAAAAAATAAAATCTGAAATACATTAATTGAAATTCAATATGATATAAAGGTCACAGATGTATTCGAAAAATTAATTAATAGCCATACTTAATAATATAAAAGCTAATACACTGAAAATTTCGTTACAAAATTGTAAATATTGAAATTAAATTTGCCAACATGGCCGGAGTCATGAATTACCTTAAGGGCTGAACTACATACAAAATGATGGATAAGCTAAGCATTCTAGTCTGAGTAAAGTTAACTTAGTAAAAAGAATCGAGAGGTAATTTCTAATCCTGTTACAAATTCTAAATTGTTCTAATTTAATGCTACTTTAAAAGTTGCCAAAACATTTTTTAATTTTTATGAATTATGCAATTGTCTCAGTCTTGGTAGAGTAATATTTTGTATTTTAACTTATACTTAGCACTATTTATTTTCTGAGACTAATCTGGTAAGAGTTTTATATTAGATAGCCTTCGTACTAAATATTAAGAATTAATAGGAAATTTCATAGTCATTGATGCTGTGTATAATTTATAGTAGATTACTTCATTATTTGTCCAAGAAGTCAAATTTTTGTGCATTTTGAAACATGCAGTTGATATTTCGGTTACTGTTCAAGAATTTGCTCTACATTTGCATCATTATCTCAACAGAAAACACTGAGGTTACGTGTATTCTAGTCATATTTTGTTCAATAAAGGATTTAGAATTACGTTTAGGTTTGTAAATAAATGCTAGAAGAAGGATGACTTATTAATTTTGTGGTTTGTCAGAGCGAAATTTTCGAATTTCTGATTTCTTTTTGATGCGCAATGCGTTATTAAATCGTTAATTTCAATTGGCTTTATTTTCATAATAAGTATATATGGTATATTCCAGCTTTATTTTAGGTATTACTAACTCAGTATTTATTGAGAAAAATATTGCTACGTACTTTTTTCATGTTATAAATCAAGTCAAAGTTTCATTTGTGATTTTTTAGATGCAAAATGAATGAAATTATCGGAAAAGACATCAGAACCGTATAAAGTAATAAGTAAACATGGGGGAAAGTTCTTCATCAAATGTTTATGCGAATAACAGCGGAGAGCAGAAGCTTGCTTGCCTTGCGTCTGTAAAGGAAGAATATGTTCATGCTAAAAACATAAGTACCGCTTGATTTTATGGACTATTTTTAATTGTCTTATAGTTTATTTATGACTTTTTGCAAATTAAAAATTTGATTCTTGTAAAGGTTATCTGATAGTTGTAGACTTTTTAGTTTATTTTATCAATTTATGCATTTACTTTAGCTAATTATTTCTGCTATTGTTTTTACTAAGCTGTGTATAATTTATAGTTGATTGTGATTAAGTGTGCTATAATTATTATAGGGAAAAGAAAGCGAAAGCGCGAAATCAACCGAGAATTCGGCAAGAAAATAGCGAAGGTATAAGTTTGTCAAAATTATCAGTCATAGTTCTGCTTGTTGCCCAAAGGTCATGTAGAGTTTCCTTATTATCAACACGTATTTCTTTGCAAAAAAATTGAATTTTATTGTGTTTTTGAAGAATCTATGGCAGGTTTATGTATTTATCAAGTAAAAAAGTACGAAATGTACTTATGCATGTTATATATTTCAGTTAGACGTAAATTTATTCTGTCTTAAAGTGCCCCACTTAACATGATAATTGAGTGACTGACACTTCATTTGTTCATCTAATCCTGTATGATTTGAAAGGATAACTGTTTATATTTCGTCATGATCTTGACAATATTCTTCCAATTATTTTCCTTAAAACTTTTCGATCTATTCAGTTTTGTATCATAAATATGTTTTCATCTCTTAATTGATTTGGAAGTTTTTGTATTTAAAATATTACTGTTCATTTTTTAAAGAAGTTAGTGTTTTATGTGATATTTTTGATGGTCAAAAATTAACAAACTCTCCAAGTGTTTGTTTCTGGTCTTAATAATCTGTTTATTCATTCCAAAGCTGTGTAATTGGTCACTGTTTTCAGAAAAGTGTAGACTGTTTGGTTAGCAGTGTTTGTGAAGTAAAGTCAGAAGCCATAATTGGAGCCGTTGAACAGTTACCATGTATATGGGATTCAGCATGTGAGGATTATCGAGACAGATCAAAGCGAAAACAGAGCTGGTCTGCCGTTTGTCGGATGCTTATCTCTGATTTTGATAGTAAAGAACGAACAGAACGTCAGTTCATTGGTAAGTTCATAGTTTTCTCTATTTCTGGTAATTCATTTTGCATATTCAGCTGTTATTGAAAACGTTTATATTGTTTGGAAGTTGTCTTGTATAGTTTACAGTTGAGAACGACGATCTTTTTTAAGTTTTTCTTGGATTTAGTTCTAATTTTCAGAAAAAGAAATACAAAACAAATGGAAAAATATACGTGATTGCTATGTTCGAGACATACGGAGAAAAAATGGAGAGCCAGTAAAATCAAGGGGAAAAAGAACGCGTGAATACATCCATGCGGGTTTGCTATCTTTTTTGAAAAATTGCTATGCTTCGCAACGGAAAACTGTACAGATTACAACAAATGACTCCCAGAGTAGTAATGAATTTCTTCTTGATTCTATTGGGAAACCTTTTATTGATCAAGGCCGAGAAGTTAGTTGTGATTGGATCAAGCAAGAAGCATTGGAAGAGAAACTAGGGATGATTCTAGAAGAACGATCTAAAGCAGATGATAAATATAGTTCTTTTTTTTCATCATTGTTACCAGCAATACAAAATATGAATGCTGAACAGAAAATTGAATTCCGAATGGAAGTTCTTCAGGTGTTGCAGCAAATTTCTGCAAAGGAAATAGTACCGTCGTTATTTTTATAGTTTAGCGCCCGGACATGTTTAATGTTTTTTTTCTAATTCTCTAGATCATTCTTTTAATGATATTAATAGTATAAAATCTTAAGATAATAATAGATATGTGAAAATAATAATACATGTTCTATGGCTTCATTACATGTTCAGACTCGTGAAATCTATCATGAAAACTTTGTACTTGAATTCTGTCGTACGTAGAGATTATCATCATTTATTTCTTATCTTACCGATGATACTCAATAGTTAAGATGGCCGTACACAAAAAAATGGAGTATTTAATATCTGATAGATTTATTTATTTGTTTTTCTCAATGATTAATTTTTTTAAACTACAGAAAAGTTGAAACTCGTTTAAGAAAATAAAAACTGTTGTTGGATAAAACAAAATTTTACAATTCCAGTTTCAATGTGACTGCAGTACTTCCACAATCTTCGAAAAATTGTTTTGGTATTTGAAATCTGAGCATTTTGATTTTCAGTGTGAAAAAAGTGATCTCAGTGTATTTGCAAGAAATATGTTTGCATAGTTAAATCAATTTCAATTTTCAGAAATGCTTTACTAGTCTTAGTCTTTACTGGTGTTTCTGCATCTCGCATATCAGCCTTTGTAATTCTATTGTCATGCTTCTGTAAATCTTTCAAGTTGTTTACTTTAGTTCATTTTCGTAATTTTACTTGTATGAAAATTGTGTTTAAATGTTTGTACATTGCGTTTGAGACTCCTCTGTTTTCTTAAGCAAAGAAATATGAAAGAAAAATTTTTAAATTTCTCCAACTTTGCCGTTTTTATGGGTCGTAAAGCTATGTATACTAATTTCACCTTATTCATTTTCTATTTTTTTATACTTCAAAAGTGGTTTATTCATTCTATAACAGTCAAGTATGGGAAATTGTCAAGAAGTTTTTCATTTTATTCAGCAGCGAATAAGTAATGATTACAGGCATATAATTATAATATTTGGAAGCGTGGGATCTGCTAATAAAATTATTGATGTAATTGAAAACTTTATTTTATAATTGAAAATGATGGATTATTATAGACAAGAAATTGTAACGAACTTTTAAGTCAGCTTTTTTAATCTATGCCAATGCCACCTCGTTCTTGGAATTAAGACTGATTTTTCATGTTTTTTCTGTTTAATTTTTTGCAACGGCAGTTATTTCATTTTTGTCGAGCTGGTTTGAATTCCATTGTGTGCTTGCTATCTTAAATTGGTTTGTACATGTGCTGCTATACTTTCTCGTTAGGTTATCAGAGCAAATAAATACTTTTTGTCGTGAACTTATTATTAGTAGTCATCTCATGTAAAAATCCTTTTCTGATGCGAAGTCATCAACAAAAATGAGAAGTTACCTGATGTAAGTATGTATGATGGGTTGTTTAATGGTTGAGCATTTTCGCAGTGATAATTTATATATACATGAGTCTTAGTCAAGAAAATGTGAAAAAATGTCATCGTGGTATTTAATATTCGGTTTTGTTTAAAAAAAAGAGTTAGAATCTTGTTTGTCATATGGTAATAACTAGTCTCTTAGACTGAAACAAAGGAGTAGCGTATAAAACTTTATTACAAATATAATATGAACGAAACAGAGTGAATGTAATGTACAAATAAGTTAAAAAGGAGTGTCCATTGTTATTAAATCATTAATTTATACAATACATATTTAACAATATGAGCATGCCCCATTTAAATACAAAATATATAACACGTAAAGAAAGTACAAAGGATAGAAATGTCAATTATAATGACATAAAAAGTAATGAAATAACTTAAATCAAATATAAATAACGTTGTTCCGAGCAATAATTATGATCTGTTGCATTGTTTCCATGCATCCATAATGTTAAATATTTGCACTGTTGATCTAAAACGATACAACTACTCATTAAACATGTTTAATGATTACAATTAAAAATATTTTACTCAGAATATTGTTGACTTGAACGGAATGAATAATCTCACCAGCATACTTATTACTTTTCATGAATTTTTTTTCTACTAAAAAAACTAAAAAAACTAACATTTAGAGTATATGATGGAGACGTTTGTCCACAGATCCATAACATTCGTACATTGATTGAATAGATTATGCACATGTGCCAAAACTATTTGTTCACAAAAATACTTTTAATTCATTTTTGTGAAATCCATTGCTTCTTATGTTCCTTTTCTTCCAGGAAAAATTAGATGACTGTTGTTTGCAATATGATATCCGTTCAGAGCGTTCATCGTGATGCATATTCTTGAATATATTTCGCCTCCATTTACCACAGCATACAAAATTGTGAAAAGGCTTTGCCAGTTCATGCTTTTCTTCATAAACATCACGACCAAATACTTTATTTAAATCCTTCATTATCAATACCTTTCATGTATTTGGATGCACTTTTGCGAAAATTCAAGGTGGCTTCCATACTGTCATTAAATCTGGCTGTTCCAGATTAATTCCGTAGTTTGCTTGCGAAAAGCATTCTCCATCAAGTTCTTTCAATACGAAGCTTGGATAAATTAATTTCAAGCTTCGAAAAAAAAATCCATATTTACTCGTTCAGCTGCATTTCAAGCAGCAATATAAAGCATAAGTCGTTCTTCTTCGTATCGAACGACTATTATTGTCCATCCACAGTATCCATTTATCATGTTCAGTACATATACTGCCTTTGATAAAAATAAGCATATGTACATTAGAATTATCTTAGTTTTGTAGGAAGCCACCCTTTCTTTACTTGGAAACTGTTGCTTAGTTAGCCATCGGCATTGTATCCTTTTGGAATTTAAAAAAAAATGAATAACGGGTTGCCATATTTTCAATTTTATGGTATTGTAAATAAAGTTTCCAAACAACCACGAAGAAAGAGAAACAATTTGACAAAAAATCATGGTTAAGACGAAGACTGACCATTTTGTTCCCAATGTATCGTAGATGTTGGAAATCGGAAACTACTTTGTTTAAATTCTTGTTAGCAATCGATCCAGTTTGGCTACTATTGCAAATATAGCAATTAACCATTTTGAAGCCACGCATATTACCTTCACTGATTGTATAATTATATGAAATTCAGGTTGGGATTCCTTGATCTAACTGTAATGTCCCAACCTTTTTCTTCGCGTCAGTGATAATATCGTGTCTTCTATTTCTTCTCCCATGCTATTAAAATATTAGTTTCTTCTTTGCCATTAAATAAAATGGCTTATTGATAAAATAAAGTAGTCGATCGAGCAGTGGTATAATTCCATTTCATTTCCATTTAAAATTCTTGTATCATCCAGTTCTGAAGGAGTCAAAATCTGCATAATCAGCAAAACTGGCTGTCATTTGTCGCTGCCAGTTTATCCAGAAGTTGACTTTCATGTTTCCTTTTCTCCTTCACTTCTATCGATAACGGACCTTGTTTCTCTTTCACGTGAAACCCATTTACCTAAAAAAGAGAAAGTTAACACTGAAGAGTGCCAATACATTTTAAAAAGTAGTAGAGCAGGCAACGAAGAAATAACATGACTTAATTTGTAATACTTACATTAAATATAAGCTTGAAAAAATACACAAAATAGTTACAAAAGCGTAAAAATAATTCTCATCTTAATGCTACATTTAAAAGATATATAAAAAATTAACTTCTACAAAGTATGAGAACTTTTACTTCAAAGTATTATTTATGAAAGATCAAATTTAATAAATAAGAGATATAAACTACTTTTATGCTATCTAAATCTCACACATTCTAAATCACCTTAACATCCATCAAACCTAGCAATTTTACAATCCTAAAACTTTCATCCATATTCTGAGAGCACAGGAAACACACAACCCACCAGCTCATAACAATGGCATAATACTAATAATGTATTATTAATCTCGTACAACCACTTAATATTATGTATTTTGGCCGTGCCATCTTTTACCACATTCCGTTTCGGGCTTCACTTAAAAAGGATAATAATGTCGTACGATAGGAAGTGCTTGGTCTCGAGATCTGAAATTGGCTAGTGATGAATATGTGTTGAGGAATGTGACTTGTGATTGGAAGTTTAGCTTCTGAATTCCATTAATCAGCACTTAGAAGCCAAAATTTTCGAATTCAAATGCTAATCGAAAAATTTGTTGCTGAAATGGATAATAACTTTGAATTGTACTTGCAATAAATTTAAGTAATCTTTTGCTAAAATCATACAAAGCTTTGAAATTTGCAGCTTAATAGTAATAAATATGAAAAAATATTGGTAACTTCTTCTTAAGAGTGCAGCATACTTTTAACCAGTCATTTTCGTATTTTAATACTTCAATTCTTTCATCTAATATGTACATCAAGAAATTGAATGTATTGAAGAAATTAAATAATTAAAATTAATTTAATCATGCAAAACAAATTTACTTCTGTAATTCGACAAGTAACTTTATGAAGTTAGAAATTTTTAGGCAGAGCAATCAAAGTAAGTTTGGCTATATTTTTGCTTAAATTCCTTGATGCATATAAAATATTTGACTATCATATTATAATTAGTCTGATGTTTAGTAATGTCTAGAAGACTTCCAACTGCTACCAAATTTAATTAATTGAATTTAAGGAATAAAAATAAATATCAGAGCTAAAAATCAGATTTCTTCAGATTCATACAAATTAGTGTGTTACTGCCTGCTAATCACAAATATGAAAAAAATAAAACTGCTTAATAAATAATTTCAGTGATATTAGGATAATTGCGTATCAACGAATAGAGTCAGAATTGCATGAAATAAATGAAAGTGAAATAATTAATTAGTTTAAACTAGATTTTAACTAATTAATTAGTTTTAGTAGAAACAAACTTTCAAAAATCGTTTTCTGATTAAGCTTGGAAAATAAGGCATGTTGAATATTAGCTATGAAGCAGATATTATTTGAGGATATTTGATAAAATAACAAGTAATTTCAATTTAAGTTCTCTATTTCACTTTTCCTAAAACAGCAGCAACACTTTAAATCTTAGCTAAATTAATTATTAGCATAAAGTTATACTCCT